CCTTGGCTCTCCAGCTTGGCTAGAAGCAGCTGCCCTGCTCTGGGCAAGTATGGTGCCAAAGTTGGTGCTAAAGTTGGAGGTCAAATATGTTGATTCTTATGCGGTCTGTAATAATCACCAGTGTGAGGCCAGGTGCCCAGTCACAGGAAGGGGGGCACCCAGGGTGCTGTGTGAGAGCCCTCCCCATTGCCTGGTTGTCCAGGATTCCCTGTGCAGCGGGTGCCCCGAAAGATGCAAACATCAGTCATTTACTTGGAGACCTGGGGGCCACTGTTCCTCCCAGGAAGTGCAGGTTTGGCCCAGCTGGCTAGGAGCAGGCCAGGGCAGGGCCCCAGGTGACCGGGGAAGGTGGATGCTAAGAGCCACTGGGGTCTGAGGCTCCCCAGGCATGACCTGAAGCAGAGCCAGCGGGCATGGTGCGTGGGCCTCAGTGGTGACATGAGCACAGACCGTCCCCTGGGACCTCACTCCCAGTGGTGACTAGTCAGGGGACCCGGGAGTTCCTGCACAGCCTCACTTCCTGCTTTGAGAGAGTTCGTTCTGGGGAAGTCCCTTTGGGTCAGTGCTCCAGCAAGCAGGGCCTTGTGCCTCCAGACACCACCCCATCTGAACTACAGGCCTATAGTCTGTCTCACCTCTGACCGGCTCCCTTGTCCCCACCTGCCCCAGCCACCGCCAACCTTCGTCTTTTACCCTAATCCTTTCCCTTTGGGAGGCTGCCAAGCCTTTGAGCATCCTTATACTTGACAATAAAGCACTTGGGAGTTGGAGCGTTTCCATCAACTCTTTGGCCACTTCTCCAACCCAGGAAGTGGGAAGTAGGGAACAGGGGCAGGGAATAGGAATCAGGCCCATGTGGAGCCCCAGCCCCACCTCTTTGTGTCTTGGCTGCAGGGCCATGGTCCCTGCCTTCCATTCGTGCCTTTCCCACAATCCCTAAATGTGCTGCCCTGTAGGAAGTTGGGGAGGGAGGGAAATCTTGGAAATCACTTGTGGCTTCCTTGAAAAGCCCCGCAGCATCCTTGTCACCGAGGGCCTTTCAGCCCTGTCCCCGAGTCACAGCCACAAACAAGCTATCAGACTTTGCCTTTGGGACCTGGAAAGCAAGCCAAGTTCTGTGTTCTGAGCAAGTGTTTAAGGTTGACTGGTCAGATGTGCCGAACAAAGTCCTCCCTGGAGGGGCGAATTCTCCATTCTTTCCCCTCAGCTCTTTAAGCCCTGTTCCCCCTTTTCTTTTTCAAGGTTCTGCCCCGAATTACTCTTACACAAAATAGACCCTCTTCAGCAAACCCATATTATAAGAATGATCTTTGGAAAGCAGGAGGTCACGTCACACCTTTTCTTAGCACCCGCGGGCACCCCCCGCTGGGCCCCGAATGGAGTCTGCCCTCCCCGGGGGTGTGCTTCTGGAATCTTCAGGCGGCTTCCCTTGGGGTATGTTTGTTAAGCTCTTGTGCATCGTGCCCATCGGTGTTCTGGGCTGTGGGGACAACCAGGGACCAAGACGAAAGTCCCTGACCTCACAGAGCTGACATCCAGGTGGGGAAACTGGCACTAGACAGGCCCACAGGTAAACCAGTGCCCTGCCAGGCGGTGATACAACCCCAGGGGAGGCACAGAGCCGTGTGAGGGAGACAGGGGGTGGGGGTGTGACAGGGAAGCCAAAGGCAGCCTCTGAGAAGATGACCTTTGGGTGGACCCCCAACAGATGTGAGGGGGCCAGCCATTCAAAGATCCGGGGAAGGACAGAGGCCCTTGGTGGAATGTTCCAGGCCTGTCCCGGGATGACAAGGGGGCCAGTGTGGCTGGAGCGAGGGGCGAGTGTGGAGAGATGACAGCAGAGAGGTCTCAGACTGGGTTTCGTAGGACCTTTTCATCCCGAGGAGGACTAAAGAGCGTTCTCAGGAGCCAGAGGCCATGGCATATTTGGGGCAGAGGACAGACACCACCTAGCTTAGGGTTTTTTTTCCCCCTAAGAATTATTGTTATACTAAGCTGAAAGTTTACTTAAAACACACACATAACACAGGATTTCTCTGTCTGGCATGGAGGATAGACCACAGAGGGGCAGGACAGCGGGTAGGGAGCCACATCAGTGGAAGGGACTGTGCCGTCTAGTGGAGAGGTGGCTCAGCCGTGGCCGTGGCCGAGCAGGTGAGGGTGAGATCTTACGGTCCACACGCAGCCAGTATCTAGGGGGTCGTTCAGCGTAATTAATGCAGGTGGACTTGTGGGGCTGGGCCTCCTGCCTCCCTGAGGACCCTCCTGCCCAGGATCCTCTGACGGTCTGGCTGTTCATTCAGCACTCGTAGGTCAAGGAAAATATTCTCCTGGCCACCCTCCCCGTCAAGCCCTTCTGCCTGTCCACCAATCACTTGGGCCCCTCATGGCACATCCCAAGAGCTCTGACCACTGGGAGTGGGAATCTGTGCAAGGTCTGGACACTGATTCTCTTTGATTTGTCTCACAGCTACGTGCCAGTGGTTACTGGGTGCAGACAGAGGGTGGTGGAGCCACCGTCCACGTTACTCTCTATTGAGAGATGAGTGACCAGCGTTTGTGGTGGGGAAAACTCCAGACGGAGAGCCCGGAGGCTGGGGTGCTACACCTGGCTGGCTGACTGATCCGCTTGGGTACACAGGCACACATCCCCACCCTGGCCTTGGTTTCCCGTCTCTAAGAGAAGAGCATTAAATTAAGTGGTGTCTACGACCCATTCCAGACGTGACACTCATTGTTTCTAAGACGAACAGCAAAAAGAGCCCTCCAGAACCCACACAGGGAAGCCCAACTGCCTCGCAGGCAAAACCCATCGTGTGAGTGTGAGTGAGGCGGAGGTAGCAAGGACTGGCTCGTAGTGCGGGACCCTGCAGTCCCACCCCACCTCACCCCTGTCACAGCAGTGGGTGATGTAAGTGGTGGGGGCAGAAGGGGGGAGATGAGGAGGGCCACGCGCCTTCTCCCCGCCAGGGTGGGCTGAGAGAGCTCCGAGGCGGGATGTAGAAGCTGGGTCCATTTGCTGAGGACCCCTCTCCCCCGCCACGTGAGAGGAAGGGCTGGGAGGACTCACACAGGGGGTCTCTAAGGCAGGGGCTCACACAGATGTTTATGTCTTGCGGGGGCTGGGAAGGCGGCGCTAATGCCCGCCGCCATCTGTGCCAGCCTGTCGCCACGCACCCTGCACCGGCACTGTGCCTCATTCCACCTGGGGCTGCCAGGTCCTGGGCGCCGGCATTCGCCGCCGTGTGAAGGTCGTGGAGGACAGGGCGCATGCGCGGGAGATCCCCCCCCCCCCCCAGCTGCCTGCCTGTATTTTCTCCTACTTGGGAGTCACGTTTCGGCTCACGCTTCCCTGGGCCACGTGAGCAGGTCAAGGAGAGTGGTTTGACCTTCTCCTGTCTCCGCCTGGGGCTTAGTTCTTTCAGAAATGGGCGCTAGGATCAGATTTGGGAAAGGTTGGCAGTGGGTGGAGGAGGACCCGACTTAACAAATGCCGGCGGCAGCCAGATGTCCTGCATCCTAAATGTTAGTCCATTTTAGGATGGAACCACTGCTATATTTTTAACCCTTTCGGAACTACCTTGTCCCCCTTCTAATTCTTGATAGGCATGCAGGTCACCAATTAGGATCTCACTAGTCTGGTTTGGAGCAACAGTTTCACAAGTGTGTATGCATGTCAACACCCATCAGCTTGACTACTTTAAACATGTGCAGTTTATTGTGTGTCAAATAGACCTCAATAAAAGTACTTTTGAAAACGGGTAGAGAAGAGCTTTGAAGATGTGCAGACCCGTCTGCCCTTGCTTAGCAGTTCAAGGTCAGAAGGACCAGATGTGACCCAATCACCCTGTGAATCCTGCCAGTTTCCTTCCGTTTCCCCTTTGGTTGTGAGCTTTACACATCTGGTCCCTGCCACCTTTGCATAACTCATTATCCACACATTTGATTCTTTATCTCCTATAGGTGGGGCATTCAGAGTGTAGATTATGGGAACCAGATTCTTATCCCAGATTCTCTTCTTCCCAGTACATTAACAAGCCGTGAGTCATTTCTCGGTGCCATTGCTTACCGTGAATCAGTGGAGACACTTAAGTGTTGTGACAGACCCAACTCAAACAAGCTTAAGTAACAAAGGATCTTTGTGGCTCAGATTTTGGAAATGCCACGAGGTAGATTTCAGGCACAGCTTGATCCAGGAGTGTAACTCAGGCGGGCTTTCCCCATGTGTTGGCAGAGGCAGCCGCCAGCAGCAACAGGGAAAGAACCCCTCCTTTCTCACTGGTCCAGGGATTGTTCCCAGTTCGGTCCTAACTGGCCACAGTCCTCAGCACCGCTGCCTGAACCAGTGCCTGTCCAGGGAGGGGATGAGGGAGTCTCACTGCACTAGATCACCTGCTCAGGAGCCAGGGATGGAGTCGAACAGAGCCAAACACTCTGGGCAGAAAGCAGGGCTAGGATGTTCTTCAAAGGCAGGGGGGCTGTGTTACTGGAAGAAGAGGGCATGTATGTCAGCGAGGAAAACCCACAGATGACCCAGCACCAGGGAACAAATCCAATTATTTTTATTTTTTGACAAGGTAGACTATTCACATGCTTCCAAAGTCGAAAGTAACCAAAAAGATCACTCCCTTTGAGGGACTTCCACTGTTTTCTCCCCACATCCCTTGTAGGTAACCAATTTCATTCAGTTCTAATTTATTCTTCCCGTTTTTTTTGTTAAATAGATATCTGTATGTTTTCTTATTTCTTCCCCTTTTTTACACGAAAGGTAGCATACTGTTTTTTTTGTACTTGCTTTTTTTAATTAATAAGAGAAAGGAAAACATTTTGAACTAGCCATCCTAATTCTTACTGTCATTAGTACATAGGATTGAGTGTTGACTTGGAGGTAATAGGATGTATATGTGAGCAGACGTGGCGACTACCAGCCTTGTGTTCCGGTGAACAGTGTTTTTATTCTCTTAAGCCTGATTTTAAGTGAATCTCCTCTTGCAATGCAGATGGAGGCAAATATGCCATCCCTGACTCCCAGGTCCCCAGTCTGAGCTCAGGGGGCGAGAGTCCCCCCTCCAGTCCCACCGGCCATAACTGGGAGATGAATTATCAAGAGGCAGCAATCTACCTCCAGGTGAGTAGCTCCCGGCCAGGACCTGGCCTTTCTTGGCACCTGTTGGTGGAGGAGGGTGGTCGGGGCTCTATTGGATGCCCGGAAATTCAGTTCTGGCTTTCATGGTTATTATTACTTTATGCTTTTTAAAAAATAAAAATGATACTTTCAAATAAAAATAATAGATGCTTATTACAATAAGTTTAGGTACAAAAGGGATATGAAAAAAAAACACCTGACAGCAGTCACTGTCAACCGTATTTGAGAATATATGTAGGTTTCATATGTTTTCTACAAGAATTTAAAAGTCCAGTGGGATCTACATTTGTACAGTCTGCTTCGTATTTGTTTTTCATAGCATGTAGCATCAGCTTTTTTCTCACATTATTATAAATTTTAAAGACTTTATATCTGGTAAATGCATCCTAATTTACTGTACTATCCTGATAAGGTTGGAGATCTTCTCTTTTTATATTCCCCTTATTTATTATGTATTTCCCTATTATAAATCTTAATCTGAGGACAATCTCTGTCTACAGATATTTCTCTCCTTGATATCTAGGATTATTTTATTAGGAAAGATCCAAGAAGTGGAATTACTGGGTAGAAGGAATCCACATTGTTAGGGCCCCTGGTGTGTAGTATCGAATAGTTTCCGAAGAGGGTATTGCCTGTTAACTGCCTGGCAGTTTTTACCTTAATCTTGCCATTTTTGTCATTATAAGATTTCAGCTTCTGCTGTGCATTGAGTAAGGAAAAATAGAATTTTACTTAAATGCATTTGAATGGTCATTTTCCCCTAATTATTTTTTTCTTTGAAGCAGCTCTCCCTTGTACGTATTTGCTTCCCTATTTTTCAAGAAGACTTAGTTAAATTCAGATACTTACTTGGTAATTGCTTAGGTGTCTGTAAGTATCTCACATTTTATGCAGCGTCACAGATAGCTGTACTCCTCAAGAAATGTGTTTTGCTTCAGGTTGAGGCAATAGAGATGTTTTGGGGAAATGTTAGCCAGCTCGGACATGCCTGTTGCGATGGCAGGGTCACCCAGGATAATCCTATGCACTGTCATCTTCTCCAGGTGCTTTAGCACCTTGAGTAGGTGCTAAATAAGAGGAGGGGGTGGAATTAGAATAGCTTGACAATTCCTTCTTTCCTTAAGCAGGTGAGAGCGTTAGTAATAAACATGGCCGTCATCACAAAGTCTACAAATCATAAATGCTGGAGACGGTGTGGAGAAAAGGGAACCCTCCTACACTGTTGGTGGGGATGTAAATTGGTGCAACCACTATGGAAAATAGTAGAGAGTTTCCTTAAAAAACTAAACATAGAGCTACTATGTGACCCAGCAATCCCACTCCTGGGCATATATCTGGAAAAGATGAAAATTCTTAATTTGAAAAGATACGTGCACCCCAGCGTTCATAGCAGCACTATTTATAGTAGCCAAGACATGGACACAACCCAAGTGCCCATCAACAGATAATTGGCTTGAGGTGATGTGGTGTGTGTACATATATGTATGTATGTGTATATATATATGTGTGTGTGTATACACACACACACATACACACACACAAAGGAATATTACTCAGCTGTAAAAAAGAATGAAATATTGCATTTGTGGCAACATGGATGGACCTAGAGATATACTAAGTGAAGTAAGTCAGACAAAGACAAATATCATATGGTATCACTTATACATGGAATCTGCAGAATAATACAAATGAATCCATATACAAAGAAAAAAATCTAACTTTAAGCGGACACTTGCTGATCTTTCTAACAACCCTCCCAGACAGTTTGATCACCTCCCAATTCTTACGCCTGAGGTTCCAAAGCCATCCAGCTAGTAAATTGTCAAGCTTGGATTTAAACCATATCCATCCAGCCTCCAACTGATGTTCTTTCTTCTACATGTGGTTCCCTCATTTCTGTACCTGATCCCACGTAGTCACCTGAAAATGGGTCATGTCTTGGTGGGAAAAGAGGTTAGTTACGGAACAGAAGGTGTCGTATGATCATTTTTATATACAGTTATATATAATTGTATGTAATGTATGTCTGTGTGTTTCTGTATGTATGCTCACTCATTTACATCTGGAAAGTTATTTACCTAAATATTAAAGATGATTATATTTGGCCGATGGAACTTTTAACTACCTTATAGTTCTGTGTATAATTTGAATTCTTTTACCAAAGATGCATCCATTAAAAAAAAAAATAGAAGCAAAACTTGGATCCCTGTGGACCACAGCTCGTGGCTGTTTCTGGAGGATGGGTTTAGTTGGTGTCCAGTAATCCTTCTCATGCTTGCAGGGGCGCTGCAGCGTGGCCCCTGCACCAGGCCGTTGGTGTGCTGGGGTAACTGGCCCCTCACTGCTTTGAGGCTGTCTGGTGCCCACGGTTTCCTCTCTTTCCAAATTTCACCTGTTAACTAACTCACCCTCACTCAGGAGCCATGTGCTCAGCGGTCCTGTCGCCTCCCAGACAGTCCCAGTTTTCTGTGTGGACTTCTGTCCCCGGGAGCAGAGAGCAGAGGCCTGGAAGTCACGTACAACTGGCCTGCCTTCTCGTTCTTCCTAATCTAGTCCATGATCAGCAGCTGGGAAACAAGGCCAGTGCTCTCCCTAGGATCTGGGTCAGAATCCAGTGACACCGGTAATATCTCACTCCGTCCTTGCTGGGGGATGCCTCGTCCCCCATCTCCTCTGTGGCCATTCCAAGTCCCTGAGGTCAACTCTGAGGCCCCCACGTCAGTGGTTTCCTCTGGCCAGACCTTCATTCCTGGCTACTTGTTGGAAGAAGTTACTCCAGAGTTGCACTTTTCAATCATCCAAACAGGAAGCTTCCCAGGCCACCACATGTGTCCCCCGTGGCCATGGTGGTGGTGGTGACAACCACAGCCCGGCACAGATCACAAGGCTGTGAGTCAGGCTTGTCCAGCTTGCCCTCCGTTTGGCTGCCAGGATGTTTGTTCCCTTTGTTGGGGGTGTCCTGTTGAGTCTGTGGTTCATCGTTTCTTTCTGATAATGAGGGTACTGATGTATCCAGCTTCAGGGAAGTGACTTGTTTGACGTCCGCCTGCAAACCACAGCCAAGTCACAGTGCCCCGCCTCCAGCTACTAGACGGTCCCGGGGGTGGGCAGGGGCCTGGAGTATGATCTCCTGCAGGAGTGCTTCATCCTACCAGACATCTATTAAACACCTACTGTGTGCACCAGGCACCGTACCAGTTGAGGGGTCAACAATATCTCTTGCCTTCCCACCTTGGGTTGGCACCGGAGCCCACCGGCCAGAGACACTCCGCCCCATTAGCCTGGGTTTGCAAACTCTGCAGGACTCACCGGCGTGTGCTAGTTTTGCCTTCCCCGGAATCAGGGTTGGTGAGGATGGCTGAGTGTGGCCTCGTCCCAGAAGAGTCGAATAGCTGGAATAGTTGAAGTTCTGACTGCATTCCAGGACAGCCGGATTGCTTTCAGAAGGGCTCTGGGTGTCCCTTCTGGAGTCAGTATTCTGAGTGTTTGTGCTGGGAGTGAATGAGGCAGGCTGTCCCAACTCAGCATCATGGACATTTGGGGCCCGGGCAGTTGTTTGTTGTCAGGGGCTGCCCCGTGCATTTTAGGAGGTTTTGAAACATCCCTGGAATTTACCCACTAGATGCCAGCAGCGACCCCCTCCCCTGCCGGGTGTGACAACCAAACATGTCTCCTCCAGGTTGGGAGGGAGTGGGGGCAGGGCAGGGGAGACGCACTGAAGCAAGGTGACTCATGTGAAGCTTTGGCCAAGTGAGTACTCGCTGTGTGTTGGCTGCTGGATGGGGTACCAATGTGACAAAGCTGATGAGGTGGGATCCCCGTGCCCTCCAATCCCAGGGAGACAGTGAAGACCCCCCCACCTCCTCAAGAAGGCTGATCTGACAGGGACCTTAGGGTTGTATTCCCAAGTGGGCCGTTCCTGGGATCTGCCATGTGTTTTCTCCATCATCAGCCGGAGGCTGAGAATAGAGCAGGGGGCTGGAGTCAGGCCACCTGGCTCTGAGCTCAGGCGCTACTGTAGCTCCCGGTGCCTCGAGCTTCGCATCGCTGTCAAATTGGGTAATAGATGCCCCGGTGTAGCAGGGACGTTGTCGAGAGTAAAAGGAGTGTTGAGGGCACTGATCTGTAGGGCACACGGCAGGGCTCAGCCGCTGTCTTGTTACTCTTGGGGTGAAGGCATTAAGGGCAAGGCCTGGCATTTTGCAGGGGTTCTGAAACTAGGTGGAAATAGAATAAATTAACAAAGCGGGATGGGGAAACTGAGTTAAGCAGGAGTATAATAAAGATGCCCTCAGGCTTCTTTTTCTCTCAAAGTTACTAGAATGTAAAGTAGTACCAAGAGGTGACACCCATGGAGAGCCGTCCAAAGTGTCTTGCAGGAGCCCTGTGAGTGAGTGCAAGTGTCATCCCGTCGATGGTGTGATGGTGACGGCGCATGCTCCGTGTTTCCCAGGGAGGAGAGGGGAGCCAGCTCCCAGCTCTTGTTCCTTTGCCCCAGACCCCGAGCGCTTACCTCCCACAGGCATGCCTGAGGGTGAGGATGTGACCTCAGAGGGGACCAGATGTGCCTGCATCTCTTCAATCTCTTGGACTTTTTATTCTTTGATTCCTCCAAGTAGTTTTGGGAAGAAGCAAGTCACCGAAGCCCCGTCTGCTGGCAAGGGTGAGACTTGACCGGGGTGCGGTTCTGTGAGGATGACGTGTCCGATTTTCCGTCATGTCCCTTCTCCTGCCGGAGTCTTCTCTCATCTGCCAGGAGCCCTCGTCCTCTCCCCGCCCACGGCGCATCCCCGGCGCCCTGTCGTCTCGAGGCTCGCTCGCCCACACGGCTCTTGCTCTTGCAGGAAGGTGAGAATAATGACAAGTTCTTCACCCACCCCAAGGATGCCAAAGCGCTGGCGGCCTACCTCTTTGCACACAACCACCTCTTCTACCTGATGGAGCTGTCTGCGGCCCTGCTCCTGCTGCTGCTCTCCCTGTGCGAGGCCCCCGCCGTCCCCGCGCTCCGGCTGGGCATCTACGTGAGTGTCCGGCTGGCTGGGTGCCACGGCTCTCGGGGGGCAAAGTAACTCACACCTGAAGGGGAACCGGAAGGGTCTGGAAGGGCAGACCCCAAACAGATTTCAGACAGGGAGGCCCCTGGAGCAGCTGTTTAAAAGTCTTGCCTGGGGTCCCCGCCCGAGTGAAGGCACCTTCCCCAGTCCCTCTGTTGTAAATTCCAGGGAGGGGCGCCGTCTGATTGCCTCACTCAGGACCAGCAGCCACATCTTGGCTCCTGGTGGGCAGCACATCTAATTAGCAGTCCTGCTCACCATCTCCAGCCTCAGAGGAAAAGGCAGTGGGGTGTACTTGCCACCAGGGGAGGAGAGGGACCAATGATGCCACGCCTCCTTCACACCCGCTGGTTGCAGGTCCATGCAACCCTGGAGCTGTTCGCCCTGATGGTGGTCGTGTTTGAACTCTGCATGAAGTTGCGGTGGCTGGGCCTTCACACCTTCATCCGGCACAAACGGACCATGGTCAAGGTGACGTGTCCATCTCCTTACAGCATTTCTCCCATTTCATCTTCAAGCCTGTACCTTCAGTTCATTTCCAAGTCCCCCATGGGCCCAGTCCTGTGCTCAGAAGTGTGACTTTGGGTCCCTGTCCTCACCCTGCCTCCAGCCTTGCCACGACCTTGCTCCAGGTGTCACAGTGATGCTAACGGTAGCAAATGTGATTCGGTCTTGAATGCACACCAAGCACTGGCACGATGACCTTTGCGGGAAATGTATTGTTAGTCCTAGTTTATATCCAGCTGGTTGGAAGGTGATGGATCCAAATCCCAGAGAGGTGGGACTCAAAGTCAGGTCAGCGTGGCCTCCACACCTACGCTGCTCAGTACCGTGTTGGACACCTTCTCTCTGTGCAGCAGAAAGAGGCATAGGTAGAGACGTGTCAGGGTGGCTCTTGGCAACATAAAAAGTCTGCACGCTGGTCCAGGAGAAGGTGTCCAAGGAATTGGAGATCAGGATGTGCTGCAGACCTCAGGGGCCCTCACGGCAGCAGAGGGTGGGTGGATGTGGCTGGGGGAGTGGCAGTTTTGCTCGGTGAATACCATCTGTGAGCTGCTGGGAGCATTGCCCTGGGGCTCATTCTCCTGGGACCACACATCTGTGCCAGCAGCCGGAGGCCTTCTCCCTGGGGGCCTGCTTTGATGTTGGGGGAAGTAAGAGAGAGAGCCTGATGGAGGGCGGGGCCTCTCTGGTCTCCAGGCCGAGTGGGCAGTGTCCAGCCAACCCTCTGTTCAGGATGTGCGGCACAGGGCTGGGTGGGAGGAGCTGACGGTGTGCCGTGCCTGTCCGCCCCCAGACCTCCGTGCTGGTGGTGCAGTTCATCGAGGCCATCGTGGTGTTGGTACGGCAGACGTCCCACGTGCGGGTGACCCGGGCGCTGCGCTGCATCTTCCTGGTGGACTGTCGGTACTGCGGTGGCGTCCGGCGGTAAGGCCTGGGGGAGGAGCTGCCCCGACAGTCGCTATCGTGACCTCTGGGCCAGTGGAGCAGGAGCCAGTGAGTCACGGAGCAATAAGATCACGCCTGCACTTAGCGGCATAGAAGCGCGCTCACTTCCCTCTGCCCGTTGACCCGCACAGAGAGGAAGGTGCTGTTCCCGGGGCGGTTCAGTTCTCCTGACTACCTGTGCTTCTCCGGGGCTGGTCCTCACTCTGGGCGCAGTATCTGCTGCAGCTTAAAGCAGACAACTCTGCCAAGTCCACGCGACACAGTGGGCTGTCCCAACACGTCCCGGAGACTTGAGGGGCTGAACTCAAACCAGACCGTTAGCCTAGAGGCAAACTGAGTTTTGAGAATCCATCTGGAAAACTCCTTGGCTAGGGTACTGTTGATGAGAGTGGGCTAGTGATTCACTCTTTGTGCCTGTCCTCGAAGCCAGAAACAAGGGTCCTAGGACTGGGTGGCTCTGAAATGTCTTCCCGCATCCCACATCCTGTGCAGGCTGACCTTGGCGCCAGAGGCCATGCCCTTGGCCTTCTCCTGCTTGTCTCCATCTCCCGCAGGGCACTGGCCTGCTAGGGCTCTGTAAGGAGCTGCGCCTGCCCTGGGTCTTCTCCGTTACCCAGGGAGTGGAAGTCCTAGGGAGTCGCTCACGGTGTCACAAGCCAGGTGGCGATGGGATTTAGTGTCCTGGGAATCAGGAGCTCCAGGCCCCCATCTCAACAAACACGTATCCCACTGAGGAGTTCCAGACAGCAGCCCCCGGCCCCAGCCTGCCCCAGGCCGCGCCTCACCCCTTCTGGGCCCCATCTTTCTTTCTCCCCAGCAACCTGCGCCAGATCTTCCAGTCCCTGCCACCCTTCATGGACATCCTCCTCCTGCTGCTCTTCTTCATGATCATTTTCGCCATCCTCGGTGAGTTTCCCCTGCACGTCCCCCGGGACCCAGGCACTCCCCAAAAGCAAGCTCACAGTTGAAGAAAAATGCGCTATGGCAGTTTTTGAAATTCAGAAAGGTTTTTGAAATGATGGAAACACCCGTGGATTCCAACTTAAAGAAATGCAATAAAGGAAACAAAACAGAAGCTGCCTTGGTAACCTTTCATGGTCTCAATTCCCCTCTGCTCCCAGGGATACCCCTGTCCTTTATCGTGTTGATGCACGTGGGGGTAGGTCATTCATTTTCACTAGAATATCGTGATCCGGCCTGTGAGTATAGCACATTTGTTTCTCCGTGCTTCTGTTGGGGGGCACTTTTCACTATCACAGATCATGCTGCAGCGAACAGTCTCATATGTTTCCTGACACACAGGCGGGAGAGTTTCTTTGCAGCATGTGCCTTGGACATTAGAGTCTGCACACTTCGGCTCCAGTAGATGTAAAAGCAAGTTGTAAAGGGCCTCTCGAACTCTGAGGAGGCCTTGCCACTTCAGATAAGATCAAGTACTGATGCGACACCCACATCCAGACACAGGGCTTAGGCTGCACAGATCTTAAAACATGGCTAGGGAGCCTGGGTGCGGTCCCTTCTCTAGGACTCGGATGGCTGAACAGCGGAACCAGAGAACCCAGACTCCGAGGCCCACACCGGTGCTGAGACCCTTAGCCCTCGTGACAACCATGTCCTGAGCCATTGGCTCCCACTTACTCCCCCCCAACTCTCGATAGAATTTCCTTTGTGTTCCAACGGGGCTGACTTCCCCTGGGGGCAGCGTTTCTCCTTTTCCAACTCAGGATTTCAGGGACTCAGGGGGACAGCCCTGAGAGGGAGGGAATTAATGGTCTTCCCACCCTGGTCCCTCCCCTTGGCTGCAGGGGAACAACGGAGTCCCTTTGGAGCTGTTACTTGGCTGTCATGTTCTCAAAACCAAAGATTGCAAACCGGCAGCCTGGGTTCCAAATCCAGCCTGTGGATGAGTTTTGTTTGGTC